AAACCAGGCTAGGTGCAAGGAAGGTCTGGTCTACATGCAAAACAGCTCCCTTAGCAGAATGCTGTGCCTGAGCTAATATACTTCTCTGCATGGCTTGGAAGCAATCTTATGACTCAGCATCAACCAGCCCAGGTGGCCAACAGACCAAACTCTTGCATAAATTAAAACAGTCACCCCATTGATTTCCAATGAGATGTCAGCTCCTCATTGCCAGAATTGCTACCAAAAATGCCTTTCAGGTTCCTAGACCACACAGAGGAATTGAACAATGCTTTTCTGAGATTCTTGCTTGCTGGAGAGGCAGGAGTGGCCCTGAGAAAAGGCAAACACTTCCAAAGTCTCTAAGTGATATTATTTGTTTAGGAAAGCCTTTCCTCATTTTTATTTTATTTTATTTTCAGCCTGTGAAGAAGAAAACAAAGGACGGTATGTCCCCAGAGCATACTCTGATGTGTCACTGTGGATGCCAATCCCCACAGACACTCCCAATGTTATTAATTTTTAAAACAAACTTGCTGATTGAGGTTCTGACTGCCTTTAAATTGTCTCTACAAGGAGACCGTGTACTAATTAACCCACAGAAACAATCAATGATGTACCTTTTTCAAGTTTCAGGGTGATTAGAATATGAAAATGAAGAGCACAATAGTGCAGATGTTTTAAAATCACAGCAGACAGCAATTAGTGACATGGGAACCAGCTGCTTATCTCTCCATATAAAGCCTCTTAATAGGGAATTACACTTGAGGAGCCATTACACAGATGGATCTGCAAATGATTTAAAGAGGGGGCGTAGTAGTATTAACTTTGATTTGCAAGCCAGATTCCTGACAAGCTGTATGTCAGGAATATATACCTCTAGAATTTTTTTCCTTTTTCCTTTTGGAGCAAAAAGTTACCACACCCTGTAAGCTACTAGATTTGTTTCAAGTTATATCCAAGTGTTTATTATTCTCTTTTTCTTATTTTTCTTTTTTTTTTTTTTTTTCCCCTGTAGATTAGTTTGGATTTTTTTTTTTTTCTCATGTTCACATTAATTTATTGATTTGGTTACTGGAATCTTTTCCTGCTTTCTGCTTTGGGACTGGAAGTAGCATGTAAATTTCGAGAGAAGCTCAGAGGGGATGTGGAGGCAGAGTGATACATCTAGTAGTTAAAATAAGAGTCCAAGAGGGACGGATTCAGCCATTGGGTACTCTTTGTAGAGTAAGGCACTATTCATTAGGAAGGTGGCTATAATATGTCTTTCCTTTTTAATGGTTGAGGCCTGCGTGCCTGAATAAAATTATCAAGATAAGTATATCAGTAGGTGCAGGGATACACAGGTCTGGCAAGGCATGTGAAAGCACACACTGCCATCTCTGCTCTCTGTGCGATTCTCTTCAATTGCAAACAAGATGTATCCTGCTTGTAAGTCTACATAAAGCTACCTGAAGTGAGGACTGAAAGTCATGAGCTTGACGCTAAAACCATTTCACTAATGGTAAGAGGATTCATAAGTCACTTTTTTTAGTATAAGTTTTAGTGCATAGTGGATTGTGTTGCTCAAACTTCCTTGCAGTTATAAAGCAGAAGATATTATTTTTACTTTTTAAAGGAAAGGTGGGGTTATAACCCACTAAGGCTTTCTTGTAAACTGAATCAAGAGAAATATTGACCAAGGTTAGTGATAAAATTACATGGGTTAAAATATGTTTCTACTTTTCTATCAGGTGAAGGAGTAGAATAATCCAGAATAATTAGTTGCTAAAGAAAATCTCTTTAAATGGAAGTGAGAACTACAAATAGAGGGGCTGAAGTTTGAAGTATTTTTAGGATATCATAAACCAAAAAGTAAACAAAAGTTAATCATTTCACTTTTCAGGAAAAAGCCCACTGTTCTTGGTACTGGTCTCAAGCTGTGTTGCCATAGGAACGCTTTTTGAGTCAAAAGACCCCTGCTATAGATCTGCAGTATATTACATGCTCACTGACAAATAAAATAATGAATTTCTGTGTAAGGTAGCAAGATATAGGCTTGTGAAGAGCCTCGTTTACTCTTACCAAGCCTCCCTTTGCTCCGCTCCCCCTCAACAGACCCAATATCCTCCAGTAGTTTATCCCAGATATTAGATATATTATGATATCTCTTGTTTGTTTCTTAGGATTGTGCTCACCCAGAAAGGCAAGATGAAGCCTAACTGTTAGGACCAATGGGATCAGAAAGCAGTACAGAAAAATACACCATAAAAAGAAATAGATTTTGCTGCATTACTTTTAACCAGTTTACTGTTGCTTTTAAGAAGACAGTCCCCATGTATTTGATATAGCCTATGAAATCCAACCTACTGCAGCTGCATGCTCTCTGATTACTTTGGTCTTTCCTCCACAAGAATTATTTTGGGATGACATGGACATGTCTGGCAGGAGAGAGCAAACTGTAAACGTTATGCTGGAAGGATACCATGAAGAGACCCTGTGGACTGCTATTTGCTACAGCAGATATTTAGTTTGACATCCCATTTCAGAAATGAAGTTCTCCAATCCTGTCGACTGGTTTTTGAGGCCCTGTTAAAATTGGAATATTTATCTATGTGGTAAAATGCCTCAAGCGTTGGCACCTTTGATGACAGAGGGATATCTTTCTCATGAACTGTAAGATTAATGTTGTGGTGGCCTGTGGTACTGCAGTAATGACAAGGCTATCATTAGGGATATGTTGGTAGTTGCATCACCATTTTATAGTGCGTGGAACAAGGAAATGAGACTGGAGGATTCAACTGATATATCAGCACTCATCTCTCATATACAGCTGGCCTCTCAATGCTGAGCCCTTATTAATGGCTTTAAATATAGAGATTATTGCTTCTTTTAAACCAGAGATTCCTGTGTGTGTGCAGTGTGCTTAGAGACACCAGGGTGTTGCTAGCTTGTGATGTTTTTTTCTTGCTATAGTCACCTTCTCTTTTTCCGAATGAAATTGTTCCTGTTGCTTAGTTTTGCAGCTCAGCATTTTGGAAATAATGTGAGGGGCAGGAGTTGCTTTGACAGCAGCCATAGAGCTGAGATCTCTACCTTGGCACAGCACCAGGGGCTGGGAGAGACCTCAACCCACTATTTCCAGGCTTTTTTTCTGAATAAAAAATTGTACACTGGAAGAGTATGTTCTATGTGAGGCATGAAAACATACTCAACTTCATTCTAGAGACATGGAAACAGGTGGGCTGTGTTTTCCCTTGTATTTTACCCAAGGAGGACATTGATGTTGTGCTTGGGAGCTGCGTGCCCCTAGGCTGCAGTGCGGCTGGAGCGTGGGAGGCTGCTGAGAGGAGGAGCCGATTTCTTCCCCGAGGCCTATTTATGCTTTCGGCTCTTTTCTCAGGCTGAAAAAAAGGAAAGAAAAGTGTGTCACTCGCCCGTGACATCTGCAGCACCACCGCAGCTGCATACTTTCATTTTCTCACTCCACAATTCCTGGAAATCTCTGCTTTCCCTGAGCGTAGCTGGTCCATATGTACAACAGCTGAACTATCCACAGGATTTAAGAGTCCCCTATTACTCTGCAAACAATGGACCAGAACAACTTCATCGTTACCGCCTATTCCAGAAAGGCCACATGTCCTTTTTCATGTGAATACTAAGGATACCTCAACATTACTTTGCCTATAAGTTGCATGTTTGCTGGTCACTAAATAACATATTGTGGACTTGGGGTGTTTAGCACCTTACAAATCCCCTCTGAAATTGATCAAAATTTGAGGACACCTAATTTCCCAGAGGACTAGGCCTCAAGGAGCTCAGAACCATTTTGTGCTGACCCCAAAATCTCTGTGGCAAACAACCCAAGCAGGGATCTAATGTAATGCTGCTGATAGAAACTTAATTGTAACAGCATGTTTGCAGAAACATGAGACACTTAGCAGTTGTTTTCTATTGTTCTTTCCTTAGTTACGCATTTATTTTAAGTCTCTCATCATTTATTTGGTATTCAGAACGGTGTTGTTACAGTTTGTTGGGAACAGTTGTTTGCTTGTTTACTAGATGCTCAAAATCAGTTGCACGGTTTGGTCCAGAGCTTTACAAAACATAACATCTGAATGTGACCAGAGAAAACAAATGGCTAGAGGAGGTCAGAGAGAGAAAATAAAATGTATGTTTCATTGTTTTTTACACTTAAAAGAGTTTTGAAAAAGTTATAGCTGTAAAGAAATATAATTTTCTCAAAATGAAGAAGGCCTGCCAAGAATAAAGTAGCCTTTATTTTGCTCTGAAGACGACTTTGGTATAATTCTGCCCTTTCTGTTACCCCTGCAGTTTGAAGGCTTGCTGTCAGATTAAAAAGTGTATTGAAGATGTCACTTCCCAACAATGCAAATATCAGATTATTAAAATATAAAGAGAATAATGCAAATCTTGAACTTGCCAAGTGTACCTCACATAGTGGATACTATGCTTATCATTTTTAACCATTGATTTTGTGGTGATGACTTCTACATGGTAATTTAAACAAGCAGATCTTTGAGGATTTTGGCTTTGTGGGGAGATGAACTCATAGGTTTTCCTCTTGTTTGTTGTAGCTTCCTAGATAATTCTATATTCATGTTGTTTACATTAGTGGATTTAATTTTGAGCATTGAGTTTACTAGGGATTGTTTTTAAGGAAAAGCATTCTCACCGAGAGGCTAAGTTTCACCATTCATTCATTGGAAGGGAATATTTTACTCATGTTTTAAATTAAAAATCAATAAAAAATGTTTCCTCTGCAATTTAGCATTTATAGAAAATATTTCCATTGTTTTTAGAGTGGGAAAACACACAAAACTTGTTTACAATGCATGAATCTGAATGCAAACTTGACTGAAATATAAGGACACTTTATAAAGGCTCCTAACTGTTATGAGGACTTTGGCTTAGAGCAGTTGTCATTCACTATGCAACTAAAGAGCTGCAGCCAGTGGTTGTGACTGGACTGATAAACTAACTTTTTCCCTGATTTTTTTTTTTCTTTTCTTACCTTCCAGGTTTATGACAGGCCACAGAAACATTCTACCCTGCACTATGATCCAGGCCTCCAACAAGACTTCACCAGTGATACCTTAAAATCAAAGCACCAGCAGAAAAGTAGCAACCAGCACCATCTTGACTGGTCAGCAAGCTCCAATACTGGATCCACTTCTCAAAGTTGCTTCATCAACGCAGAACCCAGTCGAGAAGCTGTTAGTGCCACCAAGGTCACTCCTCCAGAGCCAGGAGTTTCCTTCAGTAAATCCCAAGCAAAGAAGTCATGTGCCAGCAGCACGTGGGGGCAGCTGTCTGTCAGCAGCAAAGAGCTTGCCATTTGCAGTGCAGTCTCATCACCCAACAACATTGGTGTGACTGCTCAGCCAAGCGGTGTCTCCGAGAGCAACGGGCTGTTGCCTATTGGTGATCAAGACGGAGGCGTGCAGCTGGAAGCTCCTGATCAGTCTGCTGGGAGTACAAAGAAGAAGTCCAGCAAAAAGGACTTGATATGTCAAACCATCCAAACTGCTGACATTGAGTGGATGAAGAGCGCTCAGAAAGCATTTGACAGCAAATGCCATGACAGCATGGAAGGAAAAAAAGAATCTTATTCAATGGACAGTGTGTTAGATGCGTCACCATCAAAACAGAATCCCACTTCTGCTAGCAGCTGTGAAAATGACACTAGCCATGTACGAATTACTATCCCAATAAAGTCTCCAACAACAGATACATCCAGCCACAAAAGGAAAAAAAGGCAGTCTACGAAATCTTCAATGGAGAAAGCTATCCAAGAGAAAAGTCTGCCTTCTGGGCTTGCTATTAGCAGTGAAGTAGCAAACAGGACTATTTCTCAGTCAGAAGGGAGTAAAAAAGATATTCGAGTCACAAAGCCAGGGAAAGTGATTGAAAATGAGTCTCCCTTAGCAGCTATTGACAGCAGTGTGCTTATTGACAGAGCTTCCCCCAACAGTGCCACCAGACTCAGAAAATCTGTAGCTGTGACATCTACTCTCCTATCCACTGATCTCCCCACAGCTAACAAACTGTCTGAGGTCCAGCACCCCAAACTCACAGCTAAACGGCGATGGACCTGCAGCAAACCTAAATCTATCCTTCGGGAGACCTCCATGACCGCATCTGAAAAGATGATGGTGGAACCTCCTTCAGCCTATCCCATCACGCCATCCAGCCCTCTGTATACCAATACAGACAGTCTTACTGTGATCACACCTGTCAAGAAAAAAAGAGGACGACCAAAGAAACAGCCTTTGCTTACTGTTGAAACCATTCATGAGGGAACATCCACTAGCCCAGTGAGTCCAATCAATCGTGAATTTCCAGGAACTAAGAAAAGAAAGAGGAGACGGAATCTGGCCAAGTTGGCTCAGATGGTCCCAGGAGAGGACAAGTCCATCAGTGATCTTAAGTTTCACAAAAAGGTTGGAAAGCTTGGGGTCTTGGATAAGAAGACTATCAAGACCATTAATAAGATGAAGACCCTTAAGAGAAAGAATATTCTCAATCAGATTTTGTCCTCCTGCTCCAGCAGCATAGCTCTGAAAGCGAAAATCCAGCCACCATCTAGCGCTGGGCCAACAACCATTGATGCCAGACTAGGGAAGCAGATCAATGTCAGCAAGAGGGGGACTATCTACATTGGTAAAAAACGGGGGAGGAAGCCAAGAGCAGAACTGCAGCCTCAACCAGAAGAACCTAAGACAGCCATGAAGCACTCAAGGCCTGTTTCCAGCCAGCCAGAAAACCCAGCAGTGCCTTCCAACCTGCAGTCACTTGTGGCATCGTCACCAGCAGCTATTCATCCGCTTTCAACACAGTTAGCAGGGACTAATGGCAACCTTAGCCCTGCAAGCACTGAAACAAATTTTTCAGAGTTAAAAACTATGCCAAATCTTCAACCTATCAGTGCTCTTCCTACAAAAACCCAGAAAGGAATGCACAGTGGAACTTGGAAGCTGTCTCCACCCAGGTTAATGGCTAATTCACCTTCCCACCTCTGTGAAATAGGTTCTCTAAAAGAAGTTACGCTGTCACCAGTGAGTGAGTCTCACAGTGAGGAAACCATTCCGAGCGACAGTGGGATAGGTACAGACAACAACAGTACTTCTGACCAGGCTGAGAAAAGCTCAGAATCCCGCCGGAGATACTCCTTTGATTTCTGCACCCTGGACAATCCAGAGGCTATCCCATCTGACACCAGCACAAAAAACAGGCATGGTCACCGGCAGAAACATCTCATTGTGGATAACTTTCTCTCTCACGAGAGCATGAAAAAGCCAAAGCACAAGAGGAAAAGGAAAAGCTTGCAAAACAGAGATGATCTCCAGTTTCTGGCAGACCTTGAGGAACTCATCAATAAATTTCAAGTGTTCAGGATTTCGCATCGTAGTTACACATTTTATCATGAAAATCCATATCCCAGCATCTTCAGGATTAATTTTGATCATTATTACCCTGTGCCATATATCCAGTATGACCCATTGCTCTATCTTCGCAGGACCTCTGACATGAAGTCTAAGAAGAAGCGTGGTAGACCTGCCAAAACCAATGACACCATGACAAAGGTGCCTTTTTTACAAGGGTTCGGTTACCCTATTCCCAGTGGGAGTTACTATGCACCCTATGGAATGCCTTACACATCAATGCCTATGATGAATCTTGGTTACTATGGTCAGTATCCAGCTCCTTTGTACCTGTCTCACACGCTCGGAGCGGCTTCCCCATTTATGAGACCTACCGTGCCCCCACCCCAATTCCATGCAAGCTCTCATATGAAGATGTCCACCACTGCCAAGCATAAAGCAAAACATGGAGTGCACCTACAAACACCTGTGGGAATGGGCCTTGGAGACATGCAGTCCTCTTTGGCTCCTCCAAAGGTTGGAGGAACAAGCCTTTCAAGTAGCCGACTTCACAAAAGGAAACACAAACATAAGCACAAGCATAAGGATGAGAGGATAGTGGGGACACATGAAGATCTGAGTGGTCTCTTTGCTAGCAAGTCCACTGGCTTCTCCAGTCACTCTATCAATGAAAGGCTAAGTGGCTCAGATAAAGATATATCCTTGCTCAGTGAGAAAAGCAAGCATAAGGAGAAGCAAAAGCACCAGCATTGTGAAACTGGACACAAAGGCTCAAAGAGCAACTTTGAAGTGGATACGCTGTCTACCTTATCACTTTCTGATGCCCAGCAGTGGACACAGAGTAAAGATAAAAGTGATTCAAGCAATGATCCCATTGACTCTTGCACAAAGAGATACTCTGGTAATACTGAGAGTAATGCAAGGTCAGAGTCCCTGGACATGTTTGGTGAAATGAATTCCTCGAGTGAGAAACGGGATAATGATGGAAGTGGGAATAAAAGAAGAAGTTTCGAAGGGTTTGGAACTTACAGAGAAAAGGACATTCAGCCCTTCAGGATAAATAGGAAGGATAGAAGTACTTATGATTCTTCTGCTTCTTCTGGTAAGTTCTGCTTTATTTTATTTTTTCTTACTGCACTTTAATTTTAATGCTGAACAGAGGGACTTGCGATTTTTCAATAATTTTATTCAAGTCATTCACTTCTCTGACTGTTTGTAATTGATTCTCATTTTCCATCTAGACTTTAGGGATACTGACAAGAAAGCTGGCTACATGTTAATTTGAGTCCTACACAAGTATTTAGGTTGTTAGACAGCATTTATGAATATTTCTTTTCACCTTGCATATTTATTCTTGCTTGTTGCACTTCTGCCAAAAGTCCCCCCATCATGTTCTACAGCAGCAGCAATTACAAAACCTGCTGGCAAAGCAGGCAACTCTCTTACTCGGATCTAATATCTTAAGGTGATAGTTGTTGCCCAGCCTTTGGAAGTACAGCCACAGCACTGAATAGAGTTACTTTGCTCTCACCTATAAAGCGTACAAAGTTCATTTGTTGAAGGGCTGAGAAAGATGTATGGGAATTTGTGGATCGGTATTCTGTGACTGGTATGGTGTCTTATCCAGAGGAACCTAGGATGGTGAAGGCTACAGTGAATATGTAGAGACCCTTGCTACAATCATTGTGTGAATCTGTTACTTCTAGTTGGTAGGTGTGATATAAAGTAATTATCCTGAAATCAAGTGGCTGAAAGAAGGGATTGGTGTCATGGAAACAATAAACCCTGACTGGCTATGAAGAGTTTGAGGATGTATGACTAGGAAATATAAGCTAGGTTTGCAGGGAAAGAAAAAAACTCTTTTGGATACTAAGGACATCTGTTCCTCTCTTACAGAGTTGAAAAGGGGGAAAAGAATCTGAATCTTGCCTGAAAGACTGAACTGTACTTTACAATAGGGAGCAGACTTTATGATGACGGAAGCAGGTGTTTTGCTGAATTTAGCTTGAAAGCAAATTCAGTGCTCCTGCACCACCACATATTTATCACAAAGTAGGTTTCATACTTGTTGGAGAAAGGGTGAACTTTACTGAAACCAGCAGTAGAGATTCCGATGTGCTAGAGAAGAGCTTCAAAGAAACATAATTTAGCCTCAAAAACAAAACAAACAAACAACAACAAAAAAAGAGAATCAACAGAGAACAGAGAAGGAGAAGAGAATGTGTATAACTTGCCAATGTGAGCCTTTCCAGATTTTTATTGACTTGTATCTGATTGAGATCCAAAGACTGCTCATATTTAAGCTATTTAGACATTTCCTTTACTGAGTCAAAGATCTGGGCTGTTATGATGAAAATCAGTCTGAAATGGGAGCTTATCTCATGAAAACTCCCCCACTTGCTGTACCATACAATATCAGACCAGTTGTGACACCCAGAAATGAGAAACATGAAAATGTTGGAAAGAGACTGAATTCAATCCCAAGTTATATGAGAATTGTTATATGCCTGTCAAAGAACAAAATCATTCTCCAGCAAGCATTTTGTAAGCTATTGCAGAAAGGAAGTTGTGTTTCAGCAAACAAAAGTCTTTGGAATTTTTTATTAAGTTATTTCTATTGTCTATTGGAAGCTATTAATTTCACAGTTTGATAATAGTTGGATTTTTAGCCTCTGCCTTCTGAACAGAAGATGTCTGCTAAGCCTGTTTTTCCAGTTTAATATATTTCACTCAGGCATAGAAAAATGACAAGAAACAATTAGCATTGGTGAGCCCAAATGAGTTTTCAAAGTAGGGATGTGATCCCTACCAGGCTGATTTGGAAGTAGGATTTGCTAAGAAAAAAATGCGTTCCTGACATTTTCCTTCTGTTTATTTGACCATGAAAATGAATAAGATGGAGGTCTTGCAATAGGATCTTCATAAAATTTGCTGCTTAAACTTTTTAAACTGTTTCTCATTTACACAAAAAAATATTTTTATTTATTTTTAATTTTCATGATTACAACTGCACATCATTCTCCGTGACCTAATCCATTCAAGTCACAGATTATGACCTGGTTTCTTTATTGTTAAGCTATTATTTAGATGGAAAAATCATCAGCAGTTAGCTAAGCAAGGCCAGCTAACTAGAACCATACCTTGCTTTGCAAGGAAAAATGCCAAAATTAAGTATGTCTTCCAAGAAAGACCTGGAGCCAAGACTGCTCATTAAAACCTAGGAACATCTGTCAGCTTGTGACTGTCTAAGATCTCAATGCAGCTTTATTTTCCTCTGTGCCTTTGACCTTCGCTGGGATTCCCAACAGAGGTCCATATTTGAGCCTAGCCGTAGCTATTAACTGGTTCCCACTGAGGAGGGATTAAACTTTTCCATGATAACCTTGGCATTCTTTCTCCTAATTCACCTTGCTTTTCCCTGAGGTGACTAAGCGCTGATTGACTAATCATTAAAAAAAAAAAAAAGAAAGAAAAAGAAAAAAAAAAGGTGAAACAAGGGAGGGTAGGGGGGAAATCCTATGAGTGCATACAGCTCCGTCCCAGGAGGCAGCTTCTCTGCCTGATAGTTCTTGCCATTCAGGATTTGTCATCTTTTGCTATATAAAAATAATATATAACAGAGATAAGAAGAGACATCCTGAATATTCAGATGAAAGCTGAAAATAGACTTGCATCATGATTTCAGTGTTATATTCACAACATGGGCATTTTGGCATGCTCAGTAATGACATTTGCAACTTCATAGTATGTTGCTGGAGATGAAATATGGAGCAAAATCTACCCACGCTTTGTTGAGATATCTGTGATAAGAATGATGATAGAACTAGTTAGTACTCCTCAGCATTCAAGCACTGTAATTATCTTCAGCCCAGTGTCTTGGTTGCAGGTACCACTGTAGTGTAGTTTTTCTTATTGTTATTTTGTTTAGAACAGCACCTAGCTACTCATAGGTCATATAGCAGAAAACAATCCTGCCAGATAACCTTAAAGCTTACATATAACTTTACAATTTAGAAAGATCAGACAAGTTGTTAGACTTTCTTTCTGGAGAAACAGGAAATCTCTACCAGGGTGAAGGATCACACAGGAGGAGTGTTGACTCCCTTGGCTGCCGCAAACATCCGTGATCTGCACTGGGCTGCTACTGGGTATTCAGTAAAAGGGAAATTCTAGCTTATTTTACTCATCCTGATATCTCTTGTGTTCAAAAGTGCTCTGCAAATGCATATGACAGTTTCATATATGCTCTGCCTGTTTATCCATCACTATTCCGGATATTCTCTTCGTAAAAACAAGATAACTACTCCATCTTTCTTCTCATCCTCTGCCTGCAAACAGTTTCTTCTGCTGCATTTTTCAGAAATTAAAATTACATGTAATATTCCTTGTGCTAACCCAAACTTGCTGCATTATTTAAAAAGACTAATTGATAATACCTTAATGAACCCTACTTGCTTACTTAGCTGATATAGAAGATGAGACGCGTGGCACTGGTCAGCTCAGTAGGAAAGGATCTAGCAGAAGGTGATTCAGATTCTGCATTGCCTCCACTGTCACTAAGGCACATCCTAACTATTTAGGTGTGTGCACTAGGCACTGACTCAGTTTTCTCTCTCCTCCTACACTCCACAGACAGAGGTGCACCTCGTGCATTTGCGAAATATTGGAGTCCCTCCAGCACTCCATGACCTGAGGCACTGTGCACAGCTGGATGGCTGATCTTTTCATCTATTCTGCATTTGCTGCTAAAGCTCCTGGTGAGAGTCCCAGGGAGAGATCGCAGATTGATGACACAGATGGGCTGGGGAGACAGAACTGAGCTGTTTAAAAGAGGTCCTCATAGCAAACTTCTCATTGCCTAGTTACATTAGCCTGCTTCATTTTCATACATAGTGCTGAGGAGGAGACCTGTGTTCCTGATGCCATAAACTGCACCTTGAAAAGAGTAGAGAGTTACTTCTATTTGATTTCCATAAGTTGGAAAAAAGAGGAAAAGCGTGTTTAACTTTCAAGATTGGATAGACAGATATGCCATTTTATCTATGCAAACTGTCTGATTATTTCCTAGTTACAATCATGACAGGTCGGGATGTAGCTGATGGTGAAGCACAGGACAAAAGCCACTATACATAGGAATATATTTCTTCGTTTCTTTGTAGTGAGTCTAATTGATGTCTTTGCTACTTTAAGCTCGGACTTTTTCTGCCTTTTTTTTATTTTTTTTTTAAGCTGATGATTATACAAGGAAAGATTGTCTTGCATAGTAGACATAATGACTAAAAGATCAACAAATAAGTACATGAATTTCATCAGATATAGCACAGACACAACGCACAGCAAATTTACAGGAATGTGAAGTTAATTATATGTAGCTATTAGCAAGGTAGCAATCATAAGTCTCTGAATGCTAGATAGTTAGCATGGCAAACATGTTTTACAAACTGATGCTTAACTTGCCTACAGTCACCTCCACCTATTCCATCCCCAAGGTCCAACAGTGCTATGAGCTCAATTTACTCAAATTTGACATTTCTTTAGCAACTATTATGTATGGTGCTGGTTAACTCTGAAGGAGTTTCACCTCCTTCACCAGTTATAGTTGGTGTGGGCATTGCACAGCAAGTACACTTTGATGAGAAGAGCAATGGTGCACACATGTATGTACATGTATGTTAAATGCATTTAGTAAATCCATGATTGTATGCTGTGTTTGCTTAAACTTATTTTTACTATCTTAAAATTGCCCTTGCTCCTGTTAAAAAGCCTTACTTTGGATGATTAGTTCTTCCAAAGGGGAGAGCGGGAGGTTAACTGGAACAAGGGAGAAGTCATGATCAAGAAAACGAACAGGATTTGTGTAATGTTATTACAAATATAAGTAACCATGCTCTTCTGATGAGTGGCGTTTATCCAGATGAGATTTTTTTCTCTGACAAAACTCCGTTTTATGGCTCAGTTTTCTGCTAGAAAGGACCGTTTCTACACAGCATGGTATAAAGCTCTGGCCATTTTCTCCCAGAAGTCAAATGCGTTATTGTGAATTAGAACAGGACTTCCTATGAACAAAAACAAACATGGTGAAATATTGGCAAAGCCACTGTG